TGAGGCCACTCCAGCGGAGAACCCATGCGGCTGGGGCGGAGTTGCGGACAGCAGCAGGGGCACTGGCTGCACGCGCCCGGGCGAGGAAGCGAACAAAGGTGGCGGCTGAGCCTTCTTTCAGATCCCAGACAGCGCTGTGTGGAGCCAACCCCGGAGAGAACAGAAAGGCAAGGTGGAGAGAACAAGCAGCCAGGCAAACCCTTCCCTGCTTCGGTGACGCACGCTGCCGGACCTGAAGGGGTCGTCGCCTCGCTTTCCATCAAAATGATCGTCCGATGGAGTAGAATCTCGAAGGCCATTGACGCCTCTGCCAATTCGAGGGGCAAGGGCAGGTGGCGCCTCGACAGGTTACGGCGGCTTCGGCTTCCGCATCCGCTTGGTGGTCGCTCAACGCAGCCGAGCGTGTGCCAGGTCGGCAAGAAGCAGCCCACTGCAACATTGCATGCAACACCCTGCAAGGCATCATGGTTTGTGAGCATCGCGGCGGTTGCGGTGCGCTGGAAGCTTGGGTGCTTGATGCGATGGGAGTACCGGAAGATTGGGTGCACGAGTCGCCGCTGCCTCGTGCAACGCGCGGCTCAACAGCTCGGTAGGGGATTGGCCCGCTGCGGTCGCGAGTTCGACGAGTTCCGACTTGCCTCATGCGGCCATGAATGCGAGCAGCTCCAATGCTGCGGTCACGAGCCGTGCCCACGAGGCTAGAACGGCGGCTGCCGGCCGAAACACAACTTCGTGGCGGGCGTTGGCATGGCAGTAAATTGTTCGTCAGTGAGCAGTGAGCGGCAAAGGTGACAGTCCATTCAGTCCCCCTTAAAATCACCACTGCCTGAGCTAGTTTCAAGCTGTTCTGCGCCTGTTCAGTAAGCTCTGCCCATGTATATGCACTTCGTGCCATGCAGCACGCATATGGTGTGAATACTCCACCGCCGCAGGTTCACGGAGATTGCCGCACAATGAACGTCCGAGGTAACGCTGTTGATCCTGACCGTGCAAAAACCCAAGCACATCCAAATAGATTGGCGATCGTCAATGCTTGGATTTTCGGTGGGTTGAATTGGAAACCAACTTTCACAAGCTCTTCCGACAACGATTGTTCGTCAAACGTTCAATGTGGCCCATGTGAATGCTGCAGTCTGCCATGCGGGATTTCCCGGCTTGTACCGGTGTGCGAAGCTAGGGGCCCCATCTTCAAACATACAGCTGTTGAAGGCGTTGTATATGGGATCAAACAGGATCTGTTCACGGCAGCCGCAGATTTCCCATTCGTGCATGGAGTCAAACAAGGTGATGGTTTGAGTCCGTTTTTCAACACTGGACTTGACACGTGCATCAAAACAACGCACTGTGTTCCATGCGATTAACAGCCTTTTTGAAATCTAGGCTGGCAATCCACTACTCGCATTACCCCCAATAGATTTACCACATATGGTGTCGAACACTGCAAAAACATGATCAGTCCCACGGTGCGGACGAAATGCCACTTCGTTGGGTGAGTGGTAACTTTCCAGCAGTGGTTGCAGCCGTGAACACGACCACTTCGAACAAGCGTCCTGTGCGGGGACACCCTGTCCGATCCACCCATCGTTCGAGCATGATGCGGCTGGACGGCGAGCTCCGACGATTTCAATGATGCCAGTCGCGATTGTAACTGTTGCGCCTTGCCTTCCATGTAAAGGCAAAAGTGTACGTGGAGCGTCTCCGATTCCCGCTGCTCGTTGCTCCAATTTCTCAAGCCGAACTCCTTGAGCAAAAAAAAGGAGACTGTGTGTGTAATGGTTTTTTTTACCCAGCGTTTGTGTTCGGCCAGCATCCGCGGTCTCAGTGCACGAGTTCTGCGGCCTACGGGCTGACTTCGGGTGCTGGCAGGCGGCTTGCGAGCAATGGACTGCCGCTTCGGAGGTCGGGCGCCTCTCCCGCATCAATGCTTTGCACTTCCTGGCCGAGTGGCCCAGCGCCCACTGGATTTCATTGCGATGAGCAACGGGGGGGGCGCAATGCTGCGACACCACGCTGGTGTCCCCACTCACTGCCATGCGCAGCAGCCATTGACGGACCCGTCCTGCGGGTGGCTGAGCGCCGCAAGCTCATCGCGTACCCGGAGCTGGCGCAGGCACAGAAGCGTGCAACAGGCGGTGGCCAGTACGGCTCTGGGAGGCCTGGCTGCAGAACCAGAGATGCTCCGGCCCGCCGCTTGACAGTGGTCCCCCACCTTGCCGACCCCAGAGCTCAGACAGCAAGGCGGCATCGGCCATGCGAAGGGGGAAGTGCGGAGCTTGCATAACAGAGCGGCAACTCCGGCAGCAGTGTTAGGGAGTCTCGGGCGTTATCGCAGAGAAGACTCGCTGAAGGGGCAAAGCCGGAGAGCGGCGGCTGTGATGCGCAAGACACCCCGCCGGCTTAGTGCGAGAAGCGCATGCACAGCAACTTCGCAGGCAGGCCTGGCGGGGATACTCGGACCCACGCGCTGCGGTCGTGGCCCGTCTGACGAGCAAGCCGGTGCATGGCCAAAGAAGTGCGTGACACGTATCGGTCAACCAGCTGGCCGCATCGGGGCCCACGGCACACGCACCAGCAGCATGTTGCGTCTCGTAGATAGATGCGTTGCCTGCGCTCCGAGTCCGAAGCCAGGAGTCGGCCGCGGCTGCCTGATGGCAAAGGTGCCCCAGCTGAGCGCAGGCTTATGCCCCGCACAAACAGCAAACGGCGTCGCGGATGTGCAACAGCCAAAGCGGAATGCATGCCCGGCTTCTCAGGCGATGTTGCGCTGGCGTATGGCTAGCAGCCGTACCTCGAGCCTCAGGCAATGCAGCTGGCTGTTGCGGCTGCCGATGGTCTAGGTCTTGGAACAGAAGAGCTGTTTCCGTGTGCAATGGGTGTCTGCAATGTACCATGTGAAGTGCAAGATGGTGAAAGATTCTACAGGCTTGACTCTGTTTTGTTTCTCAGTCCGGACCGTTGGCCTCGCCGATTTTTCTGTGTGAGCTGCCATTAAAGTCCCCAGTCTTCCGTGTGTTGTTCCACCGGTTTCGTTACCTCTGCGACTCGATGCGGCTGCATACCTGGAAGCCGCCACCTTTGCGTTCCTACCCAGACTGCTGCACTCTGTGCGGTGCTTCCGTGTCGTGCAGGCACTTCAAGATACTCGAAGTCCAGGGCTCATCGAACGCCGAAGCCGCTTTGCCCGCTGTTTTCGGACGTCCCTACACAGTTTTCCCTCCAGGGACATATACGCGGTTGGTTCCGTCCGGTGCCTCAGCAACAGCTCCTGAAACGGGGTGTGTGTCGCCATCGCTGCGTTCTGTGCCGGGCTGCTGCGGCAATTCCACAAAGACAGGAACGCCTGCAACAGGCCGATTCGAAGTCCCGCTGCGAACAGATTACCGTCCATCAACGACTCAGGTTTTATGGTCGGTCCCTGCTTGAGACAACACATGTCGGCTTGCAACATAGGCTTTGGCCAACTGGCAGATGCGAATAACAAATTCACTGTTGTGCGAGATAGGCCCGGCCCTGGTATATGCACGATGGATGGGTTTTTGAAATGTCTGATGGAGAGTGGGTCCACGGTTTACACCACCCGGGGGCTGCCTGAAAACACCCCACTCAGTTGCGTGACCCTTAACATGGTTATCGTTTGTTTTTACTCTTATCGCTCTACAGGACTTTGTGACTGTATGATCTGAGCTAGAGTTACGAACATTCGTTGTTGTTCTTTTTTTATTCTCATCGTTTCACAAGGAATTCGATGGCTCTCAAAGTATGGGCGCATCTACTTTGGAAGGATGCTCTGGGGGGCTTTCATCATTCCCTGCAAGTTTCCCCTCGGCCCTGGCCCCATGAAAATCTACGACGAAGGGCCCGCATACATTTCTGGCGGATATGTAATACTGTGCATTGGGTACGGCCGGGTGCATCGTACATAAGTTAGCGGGGAGGGTCGCTCGATGTCCAGGGTCGCAATATGTCGGTGGAGTGGGTTCTGACTGGTATAACTGTGCGACAAGCCCTCAGTCATCGCAGGACATCACACATGTGGCGAAAGAGTGAAATCGCAGCACAGCGGTATCCAGCCTTGACTTGTGAAAGCCTGGCGTTGTTGTGACGCCCATCTGCTAGCCGTATGCACCGGATGCATATCCGGATGCTACCCACCGTAGGTCTTGTACGAAAGTTCCGTGTTTTCAGCTACGATCCAGAGAAGATGAGGCTTCCTTAACCCGAAGCGGCTTTCTGAGTCGAAACTAGTGGAGTCGCTGTGGTACACGAAGCATCGATGTGTGGCACGTTTTTGAAACAATCCAAACACATGTGCTCTGAACTACCGTCTCTCAGCAGCACGGCCGCGCCGCGGTTCGTGGCGCGCACAAGAGCCCGGACGACCAATCAAGCTGAGGGGTCTCGTCATTCTCCGCACAAGGACCCGCGGCTGAACCTCGCGCTTGCACTCGCATGCATACAAGCCAGTGGAGTGTGGCCGCATCCACTCTCCTCACCGCACCGTGTTCGTTCAGAAACAGAATGGATGTCGAGACCGGTGATAGGACATTAAAAGCCGTACCCTACAGGTCCGGTTAAACTGACACACTTGTTTTGGCCAACTCTATAGCGATGGCCGAAGTTGAAGTCAATTGCAAAGCACAAAACTGTTCTACAACTTTCCTTTTTTTCCACGGCAGGCTGAGATGCTTTCAGCGAACACCTGTCTTACGGAGTCCGCCTTGTCTCTGCCCACGAGTCGCCCTCTTTGGACGCCGGGCCGGGCCTCTAAGCTCACAAGTCCACACGCCGTCGCTTGCCCTGGCGTTTCCAGGGCGCCTGTCACTGCACTGAGAGCACTCAGAGCTCTGAGAACTCTCAGTCTGACTCTCTGCGAAAACGAAGGTGGCTCCTCGGCTGCATCGGCATCGTCTCCAAGGAGCAACTGGGAGTAGGCCTGGAGACGCTTCTCCGCATCGTCCTCACCAGACAACGGCCAGAGCTCAGAGCACAAGTCGGAGAAACTGATCAAGGAATAGAGGAATCAGAAGTATCTCTTACTGCAGCTCTGAATCCTCGGCTCGAGGCGGAATGGAAGCACTCTTGGACATCGGCATCATCGGCGTCATTGGCGTCATGGGCGTCGAGGGAGTCATGGGGGTCATCGGGGTGGCGGGGGTCATGGGCGTCATGGGAGTCAAAGGAGTCGGGGGCGCCAGGGAGTTTGGACGCGGTGCCGGGGCAAGGGGTGGCGGAGGAATCGGTGTCAATTCTGATGTTTGCTGTTCAAGGAGCAGCTTGATTTCTTGAAGCTTCCTATCTCTCTCATGCTGTGAGAGCATAGGTCCTGGCGTCTGGGGAACTTCTGACAGTCCCGGGGTCGTCACCATACCTGGGACTGGTGGCGGCACCTTGACAATGGCTTTCTTGGGAGCCGGTCTCGTTCGACGTTTTGCCACCGGCTGCTTTGCAGTGGCAATTGCCGGCTGCGGCTGCGGTTGGCTCAGGACTTCCACTGACAAGGTGGACTTGGGCTCCGGAAGCGCCGGAACCTCCAGGTACGGATCAACCAGAACCTGGACATGCTCGTCGTCGTGGTCCTTCTCGGGCCGTCGCCTAGGATCACGAGCCGGCTCCTCGTGTCCACCAGCTTTAGCCGTCACGGTGCCTGGCGGAGTTTGCACCTCCTCCTCCACCAATTCAAGCTTGACGGAAGTTGGCAGGCCAGGAAGCGAACGCTTGGGCTTGACGGTTTGCTTGCTAGGCTTTTCCTTCTTCTCCTTCTTCCCCGTCTTCCCTTTCTCTTTTTGCTCTTGCTCCGCTTGCTGCGGTTGCCCCCGATCCACATGCTGTGCCAACTGCTCCTTGCTCTCGTTCGAAGCTTGTGATGTCTTGGTGCCCGTGGGCTCCGTCTTGACTCGTTCGAACGTGGGCATGGGGGGCGTGGGGGGCGTGGGCTGTCTCTGCTCCACTTCCTGCTCCCCTGCGGGTGTTTGTATGGCCTGGCTCTGGCCCACAGCAAAGCCGCCGTTGGCTTCGCTTCTTTCCGTCGCTGCTGGCGGAGCCGCTGCTGGCGCCGCTGCCGGCGTCGCTCGCGCCACTGCCGGTGCTACTGGCGCCGCCGACGCTGCCTGCGCCGACTCCTGCAAAACGGCCACAACGATGATGCCACAGAGTGCGGGAAGGGAACAGGGCGGCGGCACAACTCCCGCCTGCTTCACGGGCCAAGGGCCAGGCTTGCTCGAGCTCGCACCTTGGCCAGCGGCATCGAAGATCAAGCTCACACGAGACGCAGCCCGCTTGCTGTTTGAAGTGACGGACATAGCTTCACAAGGCAGAAAGCGAGGACTGCAAAGTGTAGCGAGGATGCTTCAAGACTCTACGTGCCCAGTGCTGTAGCAGCAGGTCTGCGGGCAAGAGCGAGGCACTGGGAGATCCGAGTGCTGCGCAACCGGAGCAAAACACATGCAAGCAGGACAGGAATGGACAGGCTCCAATCCCACAACATGTGCCCTGCTTTCGCCAGTCTGCGTACACGGAACGAGGCGTGGCTTCGTTCGGTGATCCGCAAACGACGGTAGCCTATCGGCCTCTTTAGAGGCATCGCAACGCAGAACCAGCTATGTACAGCAGAGGCGACTCAGGCAAAGTCTTCTGCGTGTCACTCATCGTAAATAACCCTTGGATGCCGCTGAATGCAGCTTGCAGATAGTCACGGCAGGAGTGAAACTGAGCGATGCAGCCTAGTCTCCCACAAGTTCTCCTGGCTACACAGCTCCTCTCGTCAACCAGCATGCACTCCTCGCCCAGCCGGTCACCTCTTTGGACGAAGCCTCGCAGTCAGAAATATCTGCAGGGCAGCTTGGACTCAGACATCTCTGGTGGCAACTGAGATGAAACGCAGCCAGGGTGCTATGGAGGCAGCTAGCTCTGTCAAGCTCTCGGCAGTCTACCTTACCTCGTCTCAGCTGACCCGTACCTGACTTCCGCCCCATGCAGGTGTCAATATGGGCCTTCGTGAAACTAGCAGTACCGACTGTCACGCTGCACTTCCAGAGCTAGTGCGGCAGCGGCACATGGCTGGTGACACTGCAGAGTGCCCTTGCAGACGCCGGAAACCTCTGCTAGTCTGCAACCCTTGAGGTTGATGCTAAACACTTGCGAGCATCTGACACGTCGTCGGGCTTTCCGGTGGTTCAACATGCCAGCATGCACCGAGCGAGGGTCTTGCTTGCAAGAGGCATCCAGGCTACATTGCACCAGCTTGCCCCCACAGCCATGGTACAACTTCAGGCAACCATCGAAGGCCTCGCAAGGGTCCTTGATTGCACAATAGATCGCAGAATGACATTCAAACACATGGAGCTGTGGCATCCAAGGTTCTGTGCCGTCCTCACTGCAGGTCAGCATCGTCCCGTTGCAGGTGGACAGGCCCACTTTTGGTATATCCTGAGACTGACCGCCACGAACAAGCCTTGCTGAGACTATTTGAGATGACAGCCTCGCGAAACGTCTGAGGCAACTCAGCCGGATGCGAAGTCTGAGGGAATCAGTTTCCTCCAGTACTCGCTCTGGAAGTTGACTCCATCGTCCGAGTCTTGGCAGGTCCCGTACAAAATGGTACAGTGCTTGAACACGGCCTGCCATCTCACCTGAGACACCCGTCTCGCGCGCCGGAATACCCAAAAAAAGCCCTGGAACATCTAAGCCGGGTCCAGGCACTCCTACACAGAGGTCGCCCTCTGTCGTGCATTGCTTGATGCACGCACGCTTGCTCTCCGTGATCTTGTCATCGTACTTGCCTCGGCCATCACTAAGGCACGGAAACGATGTGGACACAGGGGCCGCTGCATGGAAACAGAGTGTGCATGTATGCAGACGACTACTTCCGCACGCACACTGTATGTGTTGCTGCACTCCAGCATTGAAAAAGCCTTGCCCCGGGTCAAGCCGTGACCCGAATCCGACTCAAAGCAGACGGTTATGCATTACCGCCAATACCCATCTTGCCGAGACTTGCCACCACAAAAATGAATGTTCTACCCGGACATCTGGTGCTGGACGAGATGCCTCCAGCTTCGTCACAAGCCTTCCTGTCACCACAGGATGAACATGCCGCACGTGTCTCCGGCATGAGAATCCTGCTTGCCTGGAGTGTGCAACGCTCGTGCTGCAGTAGAGCGCGGCTGAAGTCCCATTTGGGTTGAAGCAATGGTCGTCTCGCAAAGCTTCATATTGGACCTTCGCAAGCGTCACGCGAGAGACGAGAGCATGCGTGGATTCTGAGATGTTGAGACTGGTGGCATCCGGATACTTGCCGATAACTTGGCCTCAGGGGAAACAGCCGGTCTTCGAGCGTGGCCGTAGGTGCCATAGGCATGTGGACAATGTGGGCATGCGCGACCGGATCGAAGCCTGGACTGCAGCGAAGGCCAAGAAGCAGTACCGCGAGCGTGGGCCTCGCAGGAATTAAATTTTGGATCACAAGGCGTGTGAGACTACCCACAGCACCTCCAACATCTCATGTCTTGTGATGCACAAACTACGAAGCCACCTTGAGAAAGATGGCTACGGGCCGGCGGCACACAGGCACCAAAGGCTCGCTACAGTGCTATGCAGCTCCTGGCTCCACTCCAAGCCCCCGGGCTCAGCTGGTTAGCACCTGGCGCAGCTGCAAGAGGTGACTCTCATCTCTCCGTTTACCATCCGTTGACCATCCTCGCCTGGGTTCCATTTGCTTGCCTGCCACAAGCTGCAAGCAGCTGCAAAGGCTGGAAGCAAGACACCTTCGACTTGGCCTCAGCTTGAAGCAGCAACTTGTCAAACTCCTCCATTTCGTCCTGCAATGCCAAGTCTAGGCTAGCCCTAGGCATTTCCAGCGTTGCGTGAAACAGGGCTTCTGCACCGCAGCACAGCATAGCGCACGGTCCACCAAAGGTGGCGGCTTAACGACTTTCACAGGCACGGCCCGTGCAACGGGCCTAAGGGTGCTCAACAATCCTATGCTCATGCGGGTGTCCCTTCAAATCCATTCACCTTGCCCTTTCTGCGCTGAGCTGTCAGCTTGACGATACCAGCCCCTTCAGCCTCCGGTGGAGGGCCTGCGCGGGCAGCTGAAGCGAAGCTTTTGCTGCTCGGGCTCCTGGCCTGCTTCCGGTGCTGGCAAAGCCAGAGAAGGCAAAGGTGCGAGTGTCTTGCTCGCAGTCTCGACTTCCTCCATGCCTCCGACTTCGCCAATCTTCGACGTCTTCCAACTGCTGCTGGCTCGTAATGGAGTCCGGGCCCCGGCTTGGTGGAACCCAAGCTCCAGGGGTGGTGCCGCTGGCTGCAGCCTCGTGCTCGACTTCGCTACTTGTCCCTGGACTCTCAACATTTCTGGGTGCCCCAGCCGATCGTGGCTCCGGCCATGCGGGCGCCGCCTGCGCCCAGTAAGCCGCCTGAAGCAAAACAGCGCTACCTGCTCGAAGAGCTGAACGAAGCAAGGCAGTGACGGGAGATGGCAAGCCGTATCCGGCGGACCACGGCCTGGCATGAAGTCTCTTCCCTCCGCCCTCCGCACAGGCAGCTCTTCGATCAAGGACGGCACCCTTCGGGTTCGGCTGGCACAACCTTTACTCGAGGAATGCCCTTGGCGGAACAGCGAAGCGGCAAGCACCAAGGAAGAGGCACTGGGACTGCACTGAGGTAGCCTTGGGCAGCCGGCACGGGGAGGCAAGCGCGGGCGCCGGCTCCGGCTCCGGCTCCGGCTCCGGCTTGGGCTCCGGCTGTCGCGACGCGCGTCACCTGCAGATCCCGCGCCCGAACATCGACTGTCGCACACATAAACAAGTACGGTCTTCAAAACCTCGAACTCTTTGCACAGCTCAAAACCGCCTGCTGACAACTCGATCTCGATTGCAAGCAAGGTACGATCTACCCGCTCCCATGTAGACGTCTTTCGAGCATTCTTTCGGTCGACCCAGATAATGCCTCGGCCCACCACAATGACTACTCACATAGACATGCAGACTGGCATATTGTATGTGAAGTGTCTCTTTGCCCAACCGTTTCCAGAGCGTTGGCTTGGAGCTCTCATTATTGAACGTGAGCCACTGATGCCTTCTGTGATCTTGATGGTGATGCTGATGCTGATGCTGATGGTGATGGTGATGGTGATGGTGATGATGGTAGTGGTGGTGATGGTGATGATGATAATGATGCTGACGACTATGATGATGATGCTGCTGAGGCTGATAATGATACTGATGCTGATAATAAAACTGATGCTGATGATGACACTGACAATGATGATGATGGTGGTGGTGGTGCTGACGATGATGATGATGATGGTGATGATGATGGCCATCATACTCACCAATCATCACAATTATCATGTTTATTACTACTACTCTTATTACGGATGGTGTTGTTCTTATAACTCTTACAATAAATATAAATATTATTGTTATTACATTACTATAACGATCTATGATCATTCCTGCTACTATCATTCTGTTGCTATGATGGTTATCATCTTTAATACCACTGTTATTCTTGCTGTTGGCCTGCGGCATGATGACGTTATCATGAGTAGCATTAGCATGAGCATTAGTAGCAGTATCAGTAATAGTACCTTTTAATAGTAGAACTAGCACATTACTGTTAAATTAACTCGTTCATGCGCACCGTCCTTCCACAGCCCTCCTCGCCCTTCCGCAAGCCCATAACCTTCTTCTACTTTCCAACGCAGCATCTTTGCAATGATATGCCGCATTCCCTCGATGTACGAAGTGCCCGCATGGGCTTATGCATTTGTTGTCGGTCGGACCTTCCGTGTCCCCCGCGCAATAACACCTACCTGTCTTCGTACCTCACATGTGCCTGGTGCTTCCAGGCACCAAGGCCAAGCCGGCAACGGATAGCCGATGTCAGCGACTACTTTTCTCTGAATAGGGGGCAACCCCACTCTGGGTGAACCTTTCAGAACCTTTGTGCCCTTCAGGAGCAGAAAGATTTTCGGAAAGCCGCAGACCAAATTTGTGCATGAAGTTGATGCTGCTGCGAAAAAGAATGCCAGCCATGCGACGATTCTCGGAGCTGTTCTCCAAGTCCAAGTCGTAGTGGCCTCAGCTGACCATCTTCTCGCCACCGACGGTGCACCAGAATCACAAACTTAGGCTACCGACCGCAAGCGAACTGCCCAGATCCAACAGATTTCACATCCAGCTTGATCGGTGGCCTGCCTTGCCAGCCACTCCAGTCTGTAGGTCTACGGACCACTGACCTCTGAGTTCTGGGCTGCTGTACGGCTTGGAAAGGAGCACATTCAACCTCGATGTCGTTGATGTCTGCTTTTAAGCACAGCCAAGCAGTCAAACTGAGGCGGCGGCGCTCCTCCTCGACTTCCGTTCTTAGTGCGCTTTACAGCGACTTCATTGCCCAGAGAATCCTATGGGCCGCAGTGGAGCAAGGACGTAGCGTGGGTAGGAAGTGTGGGTATCAAAAAGATCACATGGGGGCCTTCCAGGCGCCCAGAAAGGTCTCCAGCTCGATCGCCATTGCTGTATGACATTCCAAGGATCCCTGCACGGGATAATGTGAGTCGTGCATTAAGAGAAGGCTTCGCTCGTGTCTTCGTCGCCGCATGCGAATCACTGCTAGTACCATACCATCTTCGTGGACATGCGCTTGCTCTATCCAGAAGCTCGCCAGAGAAACAATGCGGCAAAGGGGCTTGCATAGTCAGCTTCGGGTGGCTTGCAGTTTGCTCTTTCCAGTCCGTCACTGACGCATCAACTTAGGCTTGCAGAGCACAGGCCCACGCACGTGCACTGCAAAACACTTCAGCACAGGCTGCCCGCGTGGCTGTGGGTGTGGATGTTGCTCCGGTGATTGGTGAGCAATATCTCCCTAACCCTCGATAACAAAACCGAATATGGTGCATGACCAGTCAACATAAGGGAAGCCCGCACTCCGCCGCCAATACGGACTTCACCCATGGAAAATCGATGGCCGCCAAATCTTTGGGCGAGAGCTGACGCAATCCGAATTTCGCGTGCTTCGTTCGCACACATTCTAAGATTGCAGAGTTTCGTTCGGCCTGCTTGAGCTCGCAAGGGGCGCCCACGGAGCAGCAATTGCACAAATTTCTCGATAACTTGAACACTCTGTGGCGGTAGCTGTCCACTGCTGTCCAGCGCCACGGCCTCGTTACTCTAGAGATTCAACTGATTACTCCTGCTCGCTTGCTCTCATTCGGAGCAACTAATTCAAGAAACGCTACAGAGTCAACTCAGTCTGCACATCTGCCTGGCCTGCTGCGCTTGTGCAGGCATGCCTTCTGAATCGAATGCAAGTGCACGAAAAGGGCAGCTGGGGAACTGCGTGCTGCTTTGCAGTCTGCAAACCCCATGCCGACTTTGCATCCCAACGTCTGCAGAGGCGGCCAGCGTGGCTGCGGCTGAGTCTCTTATCCAAAAGAAATGGAAGATATTGAACCCGTTGACTTGCTAATGTACAGACACCATCTCACAGCAAACCTTTTCTCCGTTGAAGACGCACCTCAAGAACGTATACATCTGAAAAAATGCTCTGAGTTTCTGAAAGTGCAAGAGCGGGCACCGTCCACCACACCATGTTGCAACCATCGCATGAAATGTCTGAGCATCTTACGGTATTGGCTCCTCCAACCTTAGCAGCGAGTGTGCCTGATACTCCGTTCGGGCTACTCGTTGCATTCACTCAAGTGCCGCCGTGGCACCCTCCACCTTTATGTGGAGCATTGAGATAAATAACACCTTCAATTTCCTGGCAGCGAAGCTCGTGCGGTTTTTGGGGTGTCACGGTCTCGAGCCTTTCCACACTGCTTGGAGCTGTGCCCATAGACATGGCAGCTGCTCCTTCAAACAGAACGCAACGTACCCAGGACTTTGCCGGGTTTCCCTAGTGACTCGTGAACAGGCCTCGCTTGGCGAAGTTGGTCGTCAAGCTCGGCGCAGCCCGATGCCTTCATCGGCAAGGGACTCGCAAGCTGGTGAAGCAATGTAGGCCAAAACAAAGAGTGGCATGGTCAAAGCCTTCGCCATGCTAAACTCCTGCACAACCTGGGCGGCGAAGGACATGGAAGATTCACACGAAAAGTGTTCCCTACAATGACTACTCCATGTCAGAATACCTCGGCGGCTCAGCTTCGTACAGGCAGTTCGCTTCTCGGAACGAAGTGCGAGCATGTGATCACAGTGTCGTGGTACCTCATACAATGCTGAGAGCATCCAAAGCAGACAAGAGCCGAACGAGCTCATAGGCCAAACCTCAAAAAAACGCCAGAATCCCATCAAAGGAACGGCTTTTGTAGATAGTCCCTGTTCAAGGCCAACATGTATCGCCACACCTCGTTCACTGATGCTTCAACAACTCTGACTTCCTCAAGCACCGCATCGACCGAAGCCTGATGGTTCGGATCCATAGGCCATTTGGCGTACCTCTTGCTAGAAATGTTTTTCGTCTTACTACTGTCAGTCTGTATCTTCCGACCATTTCTCGGTGGTGCACAACCTTTTGCTCTTGTTCCCAGGCATGTCCAATACAAAGATACCGCAAATTGGCGGGCAGGATTCAAGCAGGTATTTTAGATTTTAGAGCCTCCCAACATCGTTGCCTCTCCCTCCGTCGGTCGATGCATTGTGAATCTCAAAGGCAGCAGCGGGAGCTGGCGGGAGCTTGGGTTAGGAAGACGAGTCAGCCGGGCTTTGGAAGATTCGCACTTTGGTGGCAACAGCGCACTTGTCGTGCTGGAGCTGAGCATCTGGAAACCTTGACAGGATATCACACTCTCGACCGGCATGCTGGGGTGGGGCAAGCCCCCCGCAACAAACTGTGATCAGTAGCTCGGATAGTTCTCAGAACTAGGCAGCATCTGTCCAAGTCTGCTAAGTTTGCTAAAGTAGCACAAGACCGAACTGTCTCCGAGCCGCGGGTCCGTGACGTCAAACTCAGCGTTGTACCACGAGAATAGAGGGACCACGTAGACACCTGTGAAAGGCTTGGTGGGCACCCCTGCATTCACCTGCACAGCAGCCGCCTTCGCAAATGGCCGCCGGAGCAACGTCCACACCAAGCCGATCGCACATCTGGGGGCCAAGGGTCAAGGGGGTGAGAGGACATGCAAAAGCCAAGGCCAGACCTCCAGGATGGCCCAAAACTTGCAAACGGAGTCTGGGAACCTCGGGAAGGCGGCGCTTCTCGGCACGGCATGCAGCGGCGCACGGCACCTCTCCATCTCAACCGGTGTGATCCACATCTCGTTGTTCCCCGGAACAAAGAAGATCCGTCGGAACTTGGAGCGCAAGGCGGTCCTCAGAGAGGCAAAGCAGTCAAGTCTGTGAGTTCCCACATGCTTCGCGGAACTCTCTGATTGGCTCAGGAGAAGTTTAAGGTTCCGTCAGACCTCTTTCGAGTGCTCGAAAGGAGTCTGCAACGTTCCCTGTCAAGATGAGGACATCGTCCAGGAACTTGGTCGCATGGATGCCATGCACCCAAGCCTCATTGGAGCCTTGTCCAAAACGTAACTCCGAAAGGAGAAAGACGCGTGTCCTGCATTTCGGTCTTCCTGCGTCGCGAAGGAATCTCCTCCGACGATACGCGGCAGCCGAGGAAGACCACCTGGGCGCCAGCTGCAGGCAGCTCTGTCGACCCTTGCTGGCAGCAAGGTTTCGCTCTTCCGCTCGGAGAGCAGAGGCAAAAGCTGTGTAGGCCCGTTCGTTCTCGCTGCAGCCGAGTAAGGCAACACCAAGGCGGCAGAAGGCCTTCGGGTAGCCTGAGGCTTGGCCTTCCGCGACTGCACACTTCGCGTCGCGCACAGCTGCCTGCCAACGGCCGGCACTTGCAAAGGCAGCTGACCGGTTGGAGAAAAGGATGCAGCGTAGCAAGCTGTAGTCATCCTGTATCGCCGTGTCGGATTGTTCCATGTACTTCTGTGCTGGAATACCTGCCAAGGCTTCGGTATAGCAGCAAATTGCCAATCCCCAGTCCTTGCCGCGCAACGCGAGGTTGCCTTGCTCCTTGCATTCGCGGACGCTGGAGCCGGACCTGCGCCGGCACACCTCCTCCAAGCCTCTGAGATTCTCCTCGCAGCTGTCGAGCTGCACGGCCTTGCGCCAGGCCTCGCAAGCCTCGGAGAAGGCCGACTGGGCGAAGGCCGCCGCACCGATGCGGCTCCAGGCACGGGCCCAGTCGGGTCGCAGAGCAGCAGCAGAGCGTGCGTCCCGCAAAGCGGCCTCTGCCTGGTGCACACGACACAGGCAAAGCGATCGGTTGGATAGAACCACAGCCCGTTCAAGAACATGGTTCTCGTCATCCTTCTTCTCATTCTCATGCTCATCACGCTCCATCTCTGAAGCCAGCAGGCCATAGCAATATGCCTCTTTGGAATAGTACCACTGCGCGAGATAGTAGTCACCCGACTTGACTGCATCCGTGGCGAGTTGCTTCCACAAGGTGGAGCCTACCTCTTCCGCCACAGCCGTGGGCGGCATGGACCCGTCGAGTGGATTGGCCTCCCGCTTTGCCTCTCGCATCCAGGACTCGCGCGCTGCTCGCCGTCTTCTTCTTTGCTCTCGCCTCTCCTTGCGTAGGAGGGAAGCAGCAGCTTCCAACTCGTCCAGAAGATCGAGATCATCAAAATCACAGGTCTCACCTCGGCTTTCCTCCACTCTCTTCTTCGCAAGCTGGATAACTTCGGCATTGTCCTCACCCTCGCTGGACTCATCAGCCACATCGGCTCCAGACTCTACTCCCCCGGAGTTGACCGACACCCCGCTCGTAGCTGCGTAGCAAGACGACGCAGGAGAGGCCAACAGCTGCCGGGGCAGCAAATTCCGAGCTCTCCCGAGACAGATCAAGAGCATGTGCTTAAGTGCAGGGAGCAGCTGATGCCGAAGCCGCATCCACTCCTCCTTTCCGGCCTCTGCATAGCAGAGGTCTGATGCTGAAGAGCAGCGAAACAAGTGCAAGCTAAGCCACCTTTTTCGCTCCCGTTGGGCAACAGACTGCGACCTCACAAACCACACAACATCCAGACAAGTTACAGCGATCTTTCGCAACACACGGAAGCTGAGGCACTGGCTGCAAACATTGGTGTCGGCTCCAGCTGCCCTGCAAGACGAAAGGACATGCAGGCAAACCTTCGCGCTTAAACGAGATCGACGAGATGCCTGGACGGGCATGTGCAGACTGACCTGCGTTTGAGTAGAACTGCCTGAAGCACAGCAAGCGGGGTGCAAACGATACAGAAGAGAAACTCAAAGAAAATGAACTGAATGCAGGAACTAGCATGTACAAGCCCACTTTCACTTCACACCACCACCACACGAGTTAGACAAGCTGCAGAAAGCACGTTGGCTTCGTGAACAGCTGCATGGGCCTTGGGAACATGCTGGGTGCACTGGCAAAAGGAGTCGGTGGATCCTGAGTCCACGGCTCTCCACAGAAGAGCGGGCGAAGCTGCAAGGAACACTCCGACGCCAGCTCTGCACGCTTGGCCGCTCGGCGTAGCCTCAGGGGTCTTTCAGAGACGGAGGGCGGCGGATGTCGTTTTGCATCTTCAAGTTCGAGGCCCTGGCATGAGAGGATGAGCAGCGGCTCCGAAGGGGCCCAGGCGCTTCGCTCGTCTTCGATCCGGCGCGTGGCCGGCACCATGACGGAGGAAATTCTGGAAGGCTCGCTCGTGCTCCTCCGTCTCCCGGAGTTGCTGGGCTTTCTTCTCCTCGTAGTCCGGAGCCTCCTCTTCGGGCTCCGTCTCTGACCCGGGGTCCGGGAGACTGTCGCTCCAAGTTGCCGGGCCCAGAGCATTGCGAATCAGGAAATTCTCCACCTCGGGCCTGGGAAGCTTCCGGCGCCTGGGAGGCCTCGGCTTCGGAGGCTCCTTCGGCTCGAAGCCAAAGTCGGCGAAGCGCAGTCGCATGGTCTCGCCATCGGGCTCCTCGCGCAGCAACCACAAAGCCCTCTGGGCCGCCTTCCACAAGCCCTCCAAGGAGGGCTCGTAGCCGCAGAGGAGCGCACTTCGACCTCAGAAGGAGTCATGGGTGGAGCCTCAGCTTCTCCATGCATGGCACAGCTGAGCAGGGAACAAGCGGGCTCCCAGAGCTTCCGCAGCAGACCCTCGTGCCGTGCAGTGCCAACCTGCGTCGAAAGCTCTTCGAGCTCTTCATATCTCATCATCTAGTCCTGTTCTGCGGAGCACCAAAACTGTGCAAACGAGGAGCCGCCGGCAGGCATCCACTGAGGCCCTGGTAAAGCATTGGACTAGCAACTACGAGTACCAGCTGCTATAGCTGTTCTTGAACTGAAAAGCGTGCCTCTTCGAAAGCATCCGTCCCAGCGAAGGCAGCCATAGCTCCCAGCAAATCACGAGCCCTGCGCAGTGACATCGGCACCTCCGGCCATGCTCTTGGCACATACACCGAAGATCCGAAGCATGAAACTTCAAGCGAACTGATCGAAAAGCCTGGCAACAGCTAAAAGATCTCCAGTCTTTCTGGTACAAAGCTGACCCCGCTGACCCAGCACCTCGGCCACGCACTGGGCCTCGCAGTTGACAAGTCTACGCACGGCAAAGCACGGCAAAGCACAACACTTTGGGGGCACGGCTCTGCACTCAAGGATCACTTCCGAGTCCTCTGTCTCGAGAATCGACTGCTCCCCGAAGGGTTGCTCGGAGGAGCACCTGGAAACCCGAACGAGAACCGTGAAGAACAGGGCAAAGCCGTGGTTTCTAGTGCCTCCTCAAGTTCACCGGATGATCTTCTGGCCACTGCAACACTTCACGGATGGACTCCTGGAGGTCCTGCCAAAGTCTCAGTGGAACGAACGGAAGATGAGGCAAGCGTTGGATCCTCCAGGCTGGCCGGCACTGAAACCTCCCGACAGAGGCACGTGAGTGCATCTCCACTTTGCCATAGCTGCGGAGCCGAGCCCCCGGCGCCAACATAGAATTGAATCTTGGTGTACGTCCTTGCGTGAAGCGAAGCAAACTGGCTGTTGGCAGAGGTCTATCCGAACATGTGCTGGCAAGCTACGTTTTGACCGTCACAATGCGGGTCTCCTGGCCTTAGAGTGCCATGACTAGATCACACACGCGGCTCTCTATCATGACAATATTGTGCTGACAATCCTGAAAGTGCATGCGAAGCTTCTGGGTGCACAGCTCCCAGTCTTTGCGCCCACGCGCGCGGACAGGTGCAGATGGCCTGACATGCACCAACTTGTCAAGGTGCGATTGGTTCTCGAAAGATTGCTACTGCAAAGATGTGCTCTTCTCGCCCAGCAAAGGAGCCCACCGTCAGACAAGGAAACTCTTTCGAGCCCCCGTTTGTAACGTAGACCCAAATTCTCTGATACTCAATCTCGGCTTCGTCTGACCTCTGTCAGAAATCTCTCTGTTACACGTCTCTTGCACGCACAGCTCTTGTCAAGGATGTCCCTTACACCCTCACGGTGGAACTCTTGTCCTGAAGAGGTTCAGCATCCCATCTCGCAGATTGAAGCTTGGCCCAACACTACTTTGACCCCAACACTTTCCGCAGAAGGCACTGTGCTCCGTTCTAAACAGCCATGGCAGTCGGACGCTGCCTGTGTCTCCAATGCCCTCCCCTTCCACAGAGACCTTGCTGCACGATCTGGACACATACTGGGCAGAAGCCGCTGCTGCAATCTGCTACATGCAGCCAACCGGCATGCAGCACGGTGCTTGATGAGGCAGCCTGCCAACGTGTCATGACTCACGACCAATCGAAGCGGGGGCATTTCAGCGCATCTGTTGACAGCACGATTGTGCCTGAGAGTACAACGGATTCTGGCCCCAGAGAAGCACTGTGCGCCCTTCGACTGTACTGACCTCAGGCAGGGCTTGGCCGCCAAAAAGCATCAACAAAGCACTGTTTTGCAAGATGCGGGACACAGCCATTCAAGGCAGAACTCTACCAACATGTTTCTCTTTTCCGCCTCCCTCTTCCCAAGCTGCTCAGCAGTGGGGGTGCGCGGGTGGAAAAGCTCAGGTGAATCAGCCAAGAACAGAGTGTAGCACAGCACTGACAACTACACACTGCAGCTGCGCAACTCATGAACGAGGAACGTCGCAGGACGAGGGAGAGAGGGTTGGTGCTCCTGCCTACCCCAACCAGCCGCGAACACCTGCACTTCAGCGCCAGACTGCCGTCTGGAGAAAGGGCTGCAAGTGAGCCTCGGGACGAGAAAAAGCAGGATAGGCCTGAAGCTCTGCGAAGCCAGGCTCTGCGAGACTCTGCGAGGCTCTGCGAGGTTCTGAGGTACAGGCGTCCGGCCGGAGGCGCACTTCGCGCAGGAGATGCAAGTCCCCTCCGCGGCGCTCCAAGACCTGCCAGGGGGAGCCCTTCGGCCTTGGACCTCCAAGACCCAAACGAAGCTGTGTCTTTTCCATTGCAAGGAACCTTGTGAGGCTTGGACTTCACGACGAACCTCAAGGTGTCCGTCTGCATTTCCAAGTTCATATCACCGCCTTTCATCTTGCACTCCTGGGCGGAGGAGGGGCCAAGAGACGGCGAGGCCACGGGTTCAAAGCCGGACTTCCCTTTTGCCAGGAGTCCCAGGATTCTGCAGCGCCTGCAAAAAGACGAGAAAGGAGCTGTGCCAGGACTCAGAGCAACCATGTCGCACCTTTTGGTACGTCAAGGCGATACTGCTTGTCCTCGTGGAATTCTTGGAAGTCCCTGTAGATTCTCCGACTCCTCTCAAAGGCTAGGAAAATCTTGCAAACGAGCTCCATGAAGTAAAAAAGCTATTTCGATCCCGCTCCTGGTGACTTGCTTGGTTCCACCATAGAAAAACTTCTCCAGCTTGCACCGGACCTGGCGTTCCGTAGATCCAAGATTTCTTGTCCTCTGCCATGCCAGGCCTCCACATCAACCTCCCTTCCAGGAGGCTTGTAGTGCCTCGCTACAGCTTTGTTCTATCGGACTATACAGTATAGTATAGGGTCAGTAGAGGATGGATTCGTGTCAAAGCGAGTTGCTCTTGGATCTTCTTCATCAACTCCGTAGCATCGAAAGGAGCTCTGTCCTTGCGCTTGGAGTATCCGTTCACCTGTTGCCCAAGTCCAGGCTCTTTCCCCCAAGTCTTCTCCCCACTGCTTGCCTGCTTGCGACTTTCTGTGAGTCCCAATAGAGTCTTTTCGAGGCCTCGCTTCCCGCCGTGGCGAAATCCCGGTCTCGGTCATACTGGCGGCGAGTTGCCTTCCGCGCAGGCACTGCTTCAGCTGCTACGCTGATTGCGTGTGCATGTGCTTCCAGCATTAGCCAGCACACTTTTCTCCTAGCAGTTTGTCAAAGACCTAGCAGAGCGCTCTCAGCTGACATGCAGCTCGATGCCAAGGTCTTGGAGGTCGGAGGCTCGGGCCTTCACACGCCTCAGGGCACATCAAAGCAAATCTCATCATGCAGACGAAGACGCCTCGCTCCCCGAAATGCTGCTTGTGCCTCTTGAAGTCATCGAAACCTGGACGGTGGTGGTCGCACCAAGTCGCTTCGGCGATCGCCGCTCCGCGGGGCCATGCCTGGAAACGGAAAACTCGGATGCAACAGCCATGACCAGAACGGCTTGTGGGGTGGGGCCGATCCTTGAAGTCCAAGTCGTCCAGCCCGCGACTGGCAGCTTCAAGAACATGCTGAAAAACACGACATGCTCTGTGCCATGCCCGGAGAGCCGCGCCTGATGTACTCGCTCCAGAGCTGGCCTTGGCCTCCAAGAACCTTCGCCCCATGTCCGTCCAAAGGCAGTTCGTAGACCTTCTTCAGATCCACGACACCCTGCTGAGACTCGTAAGGATCTGTCGGGCCTTGGGCAAAGTCCAAGTATGTTCTGCTATGTGGGCACATGACCACGGACAACCCTCGCTGAGATGCCACAGAAAGCTTGGAAGGGACGTTGTCCCAGTCTCGCCAGATCATGACCACGCTGCGCTGAGGAAGTGGAATTCCAGTTGAAAGCGCTTCATCCCAAACAATGCCCGATCTGCCTACTCGATTGGCAGCTTCTATCGCCTTCTGGGTAAAGGTGCCTGCAATCTGACGTGGTGAGAAAAAGTGGTTGTCCTCCTCGTAGCGGTGTGCACTTGGAGAGATGTCCCACTGCCTGCTGGAGACCTCATCTCCACCGACATGATAGTAGTCCGACTTGATCAGACCCGACACCTCGCTAACCAGATCAGACACGAAGGAAAAGGTCTTGTCATTCGGGGCCAAGACGAAGTCCGATACACCCCACTGTTCCATGACCCGAGGAGCCGCATTGATGGCATCCCGGTTGCTAAACTCGGGATAGGCAGCCAAAATTGCCTGCGCGTGTCCAGGCAGATCCGTTTCGGGTACAACCATGATGTGTAATGACTCCGCATAGCTGACAACATCATGAATCTGATCAGGAGTGTAAAAACCTCCGTAGTGTCGATGGTCATTGTTCCAGCCGCTGTGACCCTGTTGCGTCCCATCTCGCCAAGCACCAACCTCTGTAAGCTTCGGATACTTTGCAATTGGCACACGGAACCCTTGGTCGTCCGAGAGGTGCCAGTGGAAGCGGTTCATTTTAAATAGAGCCATGGTCCGGAGTAGATGCTTCACCTCATCTGCTGTAAAGAAGTGTCTGCTCACGTCGAGCATCAGACCTCTCCACTCGTGCATTGGAGCATCCTCAATTCGCAGCTTCGGAATTGACACAGCACCGTCGCTCACTGACATCAGCTGTCTGAGGGTCATCATCGCATTGAAAAGCCCATGGCTGGTCGAGGAAGTCAACGTGATTCTCTTGTCCTTTACCTCAATCCTGTAGGCCTCGTCGCTGAGACCGTCTAATCCCTCGATGTTTTCGGACTTCAACTCAATAACAGGGCCAGGCTTGAAAGCGTCGGCCACTGACAGCTGGCCAACTTCCAACACATGTGCTTGGAACGCCTTTTGATCTTCTGCCGTTCCTCGTGGGAGCAGTTCAATGTTTCGAATCCAAGGAAACATCACTACCCGCGGCCTCCGGTGACCAGCACCGCAGATCGGAGGGGCAGCCGCAGCGGCGGCTCTGACAGAAACTCGACGATTTGCGGCGCAGGCACCAAGTCGTGCGGTTGACCAGCTGCCGTCCTCCAGCCGCAGAGCAGGTATGAACACGTCACGCAAGAGGCTGGGTTGCTCATGTCCTCGGAAGACTGCGAGGCCTGAGACCAGTGCAACCCTTGCAAAGCTAGCTCGATTGCCACGGAAAACCCTGGCTCAGGGGCCCCACGTGCTTTGCCGCAGTCTGCGCAGAACCCGCGCCTGGCGAACACAAAACCAGCAGGAGCCTGGCAACTGTCCTACATTCAGGTTTCATCTAGCAGCGTACCACAAACTACTTTTCTGGACCAAGGTGCGCGGAACTCGCTCAACCTCATGTGACATGGTGCTGGGCCACGGCAGCATGCTGTATGGTTTTCTGCCGACTCTCAATCTCCCCAAGTCAAGTGGCCCCCCGGAAGTCGGCCTCTCAGCCTCAGTTGAGCAACGAGATTCCCCCGCAGCTGTTGAGTGCTGGCATGAGACAACCCAGACGGCCAGGAGTGGTCATGCAGGGATCTCCAGAAGTTAGCTGCAGCTCTGCAAGCCCTGGCATTGTGCCCCTTTTTACGGCAGACACATTAGCGGTGTGCCCTTCATAGTCAGGTCACGTTCGGTCATCAAACCTGTCCGGCTTTCCGTCAGAAACTTTGCCAGTCAAAGCTCCCGTGCAGCGCTCTAAGCGCTGCAGCATTCGATGCAAAACTTTCCATGTAGATCAAGCTCACGCGCCATTACTTCGATGACTTGTTAGTAACCAAGAGCTGAAAAATATGGTTTCAATAGCTGGCTACATGACTGCAGGAGAGCTGCTGGAATTAAGGCAGCAGTACTGTACCAGTGACTGCCAAGCCCCTCAGACCGGCTTGATCCTGAAGTGGAGACCGAT